CAAACTTCATTACTATAAATTCAACCGGTCTTTATCAACGGTTCTAATTTATTTTTGGAAAAGAGCAACATCTGCTTAAGAAACGAACACAGTTTAAAATAAACTGTAATATTATCTGAAGCAAAAATACAAGTAAATTTTCGCTTACTTCTAGGATGTAAGGTAAAGTAATGCAATTTTTTTAAAGTAAATTTTAGTATTGATATTTTAGGTGAAACTGCACATTGCTGAAATGCTTGTGAATATTCACTTTGTTCTAATACGTGTTTATTACAACTTTCGATCATTAAAATTCCACAGGGCCATTGCAAATAACGTTTGCTCCGTAATATAAACTGGCAACAATTGTTTGTTTTGAGATTTTAGATTAATCTGGTTTAAGCCAGAACAGCCAAAGGTTTCTTAAATATGTGAATATGATTTCTTAGAAGATTCTGATGAATAAACAATAATATTCATGGCAAAGCTGTGAAAGCGATCACTGTCCCTACTTTTAAACTATCGACCACAGAAAAAGCAGGCAGTCAACGGCACTCTACCACCCATCGTCTACACTAATTGATTATCTGTCACTCTTATAACGCAGCCACAGCTTAAAGTGCGAATAATACCTTGTCGCTTAGAACAGATTCAAACCCTACTCGTCAGCTACGAAGTCCAGAGCTCTACCACAGCTCCAACCTGCACCAACAAAAAATGTAATAAAACTATAATTTTCATTGTGGTAGATTTTATTCAAGATTAAATCATTTTTAATAAGTTTTTTTTTATAGTTCACACACCAATGAATTAACGATTATATTTTGAACCCTTGATAATTCTAGCCCAATTCGTGGGCTACTCGTGTCTAACCGAATACCTAATAAAAGGACTTGACTGTCACTTTTATAGCACACCCACGGAATTTTTGCGGCGATTAGTTTCGAATCATCAATCTCCAGATTCACTCTCTGAACGCCCTAACCACTTGGCAAGTCTGGCTCGATGTGAATCGTATTTGACTTCAAATGAAGTTAATACTTTCCTTATAAGGTTAAGAAGTTAATACTTAAACTACAGCTACTGAAAATCCTAATTAAAAAACTTTCTTGAAACTATTATGATATTATATAATGCTTTTCATTTTAGGTACTATAAACAATCAGAGAAGAATTCAAAATGGGAAGTACAGTATAACACAATGACGGTAGAACACAATAATATACACACAATTATTATAATTTGTAGTTTTAATGAGAACAATATAATATCTTTTGAATTTGACGAAATTTTCGAAAGTTTCAAATGTATCATAAATTAAATCAATTTACTTTAAGGAAAAGCAAATATTATAAATACTTGTGTGTGTTTTATAGCAAAGCAACATCAATCTACCTGTTGTGTCCACCGAGGGGAATCGAATCCCTGATTTTAGCGTTGTAAATCCGTAGGCTTACCGCTGCACCATTAGGATGCTTGTTTGTTTTTCATTTTATAGAAATGACCTAAGATGTTTGGTTATAATTACTTCTGGTGTTTTTCTTGTATTTTAGATTCCTGTTTGTTTTATTGGCAATATTTAGTAACAAAATCTTCGGTTAATATTCAACTAAAGTTAATTCAATTATTTATAATTTAGTTAAGAAGATAGCAGACAACGGTATGGTTATTAATTCAGGATTTCTCTTCGAATGTTTCTCTACTTTTGCTTTCATTTTCTTAAACTAATTATGAATTAAAATATATTTTCATCTTATAGTAATTTAATAATAGTGTCATAGATCATTACCAAAAATATGCGGAAATCAAAACTAGACTATCGCTGTTTACAATAACGGAAATCTGTTCTACTCCCTCTACCCTGCTCCCCTGCTTGAGCTTATTGGTAAAGCCCACTTCCGAACCTTTATTCACTTCTACTTTTGTCACATTACTAGAAGACTCAGGTTCACTTTTGAACGTTCGTAATGTGAGTGCAGTTGAGATCAAACAGACTATCTAGTGCTCTTTATCATTGCAAAAGTCAGGAAATGTGCTTCCATCCTTCAACAGCGTTAAAGTTGATATGAAGAATTAAATACATTGAATTAAGCAAGAGGTAAGTGATAACAAAATTATTTTTGTTCTACTTTTAGAACTAGCAGTTATCTTGTAGGAACAAACACAGGTGCTAAAAAAGCAGTTTCATAATGACACATATGTTGTTCGTAAACCCACTAAAATATATTGTAATGCATATGAAAAACTGGAGCTCTGTCTTTTCTGCATCATACCGTTATGAAGCTAGTTTATTAATAAAAACGGTGATTTAAGTTACAAAAGATCAATGTTACAAAAAACTGTTTGCATGCTATGAAACTTCTCTACGACTCAAATTATAGCTCAACCGCTGTGAAAAAACATGAATATATATATACAATAATAAAACTTCTGTCTTTAATTGTAAAAAAATTTTCATAAAATGTCAGAGGCATAGCAGGCAATTTAAAAGTATGGGTTACCAGGTTATATTTTACCGAGAAAGGTGAGGGAATGCTACGCCACACAAGCACCCATTATGGTAGGGGTTCTGGATTACATTTTATGCATTCTTCTGCTTTTCCTGAGGGTAATTTTCCTAATTTTGATATATTTTTACTAGGACAGAGTTAAAAGTGCTCCTTCCCCTCGTTTCCTACGCCACCGGATTTTAAAATCTAACTGGTAGCGATATATCATAGAAGAACATTTACTAAAGCCTGAGTTTGTTTGTTTGTTTGTAATTAAGCACAAAGCTACACAATGGACTATCTGTGCTATGCCCAATACGGGTATCGAAATCCGGTTTCTAGCGTTGTAAATCCGTAGACATAACGCTGGGCCACTGCGTAAAGTCTGAGGAGTTAATAGTTGGAGCTCACAAAAACAAACACTGACTTGTATTTAAATAAAATAATGCTTATTCAGTATAATATATTAATAGTATTCTTATTCGTGAGCTTCAGATGTATTATTAAACATGAAAGTGCTTTACATTTTTAGACCATGAATTTAACATAGAATTATAATTCGATGAAGTATTTTCAAGCGCATATAAAGTCCTATGTATTAATCGTTAGTTGATTATTTTGTCATCTAAAGTACTTGAATGAAAATATAGATATATAAAACAACAAATAAGCTGTCTCAAATCATATAAAGTTCGTAATATTGTTTTAACAGGAATTTCTATTATATCATCAATAAAGATCAGTTAATTAGTTATAAGTTGAAAGTTAAGAACAGTTCAAGTTAACTATGGTTTAAATAATATCATAAGAACAATTTAAAATTTAGATAAGTTAAATAACTAGACACTTGGTTTGGGTTTTGAAGAGTGTTCATTCTTGCTCAACCTCAACGCATGGTAATATTCACACGCTCGATTTGGTAGATTCTGAAATTCTGCATACTACCCAAGCAGCAGTGAATTGCTCAAGAAGCTTCGTTTTATATCGATTTATGAAATTGTCACTCAACAGGAAATAAGAAATACCAGAGTTCATACCAGTACCAGACACCGATACCACGTTATACTTATACTTTTCCTCGTTTCTATCATCATTTTTTTCTCAAACATAAACTCTTTTATGCCTCATATTGAATGATCGATGCCTGTAATATTTTAGTGGGGTCCTTTTGGTATTAAAGGTTAATTTTAGTAATGAAGTCACACAGCTTCTGTCTTTTAGTGTGGTTTTTTTTTACTTTCTCTGTAAGAAAGAAGTGTGAAATCATACAATTATGGATGTGAAGTAATGATACACCTATAATGTGTGTATTCACATCTTTCATTTATATATTTGTGAAATTTTTTGTACACTCATTTCCTTAGGAGTTTGAATTCTCAAGATTTAAGAGCATAGGCTGGTAATACATTGTTTGGTTTAGTCGAGTGTATTCCACTGTCTTGTAAAACTGTAAAGTGTTTATTCATGATACTTTCTATATTCGGTTTGAACGTGGTCATAAACTTCGTTACTTGAAGGTTTTAATCTATTTGGATTAAATTCTAGTTCTTTACATAAAGTTATAATACACAACTTTTTACACGTTAGTTGTTTTATCTGCGAAAGGGATGACTATCTATGAAAATAGTCTATATGATCAATAATTTCTTTTTTACTCATCACACGTTCGTTGTTGTTGATAGTGAATTTCTTTAAATATTCTAAGCGTTTGTTGATTATGTTTTTAACTTTATTTATCCAGTTTCTGAATAAGATCACTTTTAAGTTCCATTTTTTTTGCTCCATTTATGTAAAACTTCACGAAATGAAATGTGATTATTTTTTTGGACCTTTAATCATTAGTAGTCGTGAATTTTTGTGTCACAATATCAGGGTTACCGGTGAAAACGTGGTCGATGGAAAATAGATGTAAGGTGATGATGAGCTATATTCGCATTTACAGGATGAAATGTTGTGTAACTCTTCATTGAATACGTTATCTAACACTTTGTTATAATTAAAGATGTTACTCCAATGGCCTTTTTTCAGCTAATAGTTAAGTATTTAATTCTGCATGTCGTAGGTAATAAATGTCATATAAAAGTGTCTCTGACTATTGATTATAATTTAAAAAATTCTATACTTCAATTAAAAAATGGAACTGCAAGGTAAACCTTATTCTTATATTCATTAGCGGTTGTTGTTTTGAATTTAAGTGATACCAAACAGCAAATAATAGCTATCCTACATTGCGCATCAAACCTCGATTGAACAAAGATAAGCTTATTAACCCATAACCTTCGCAAGATAACGTACAAATCTCTGAGACCTTCTTGTTTAATGAACTTCTCGTAGGTCTCATAATAAACTGTTCTGTGCTTTAGCACCGTTTGTTCTGTGCTTGCGCCGTCGACTACGTGGCCCTCTTGCAAGGTATTAGATAAAATATAGATTATTTAACTACACTTCTTATCCAGCAGCTCTCTCTTTCCACACGTTTAGCGCGTAAATATTTAAATATTCACATTACATGTATTCTGCGGGATATACGCATAAAATATTCACACGTATGCCCTGGGGAGTTAAAGATTTGATAGAGAAAATTCGAGTAGTTCTTTTTTCTGCTGCGAATCTGTGGCCAATCAATTTGCTTCTAAAAAACCGCGAAGTCTCGCCTACATATTGAACTAAATAAATGAGGTAATAAAAGACCATGCGCACTTTTCTTACCACTGCTGGGTACGACTTGTTGCAGATCCTTTTCTGAATAGTCTTGATTACCCAAGCTGACCCATATTTATTTGTTTTCTAATGTCATTAAGTTCAAGAAATATATATGTATATCCCCATCTTGGAAATTCTAAATCCCTAAGCTCACACATATTTATGATCCGGGTGTACAAATATTTTGCATCGGAAAAACTATTATACACCTTTTCCAAAGTCTCTCAATTATCGCTGGCATCATATTACGTATAAAACGTCAAATAATATCAAAATGTAGTTATAATACATTCCGTTCCACCGCGATTTTATACCTGCTGGAATGTCACGTGTCTTGCTGCTTTTCATATTATAAGTTGTTTGAATATAACACACTAAACCCTATGTAGAAAAAAATATAATAGAATTATTCACAGAATTGAGGAAGACAAAAACAAATGTGAAACGTTGAGTTGTTTTTGTTTTTCTCAGTTCTTTAATTATGAAGTTTCACCAAGTGCTCACGGTTTCAAGTATTAATTACTTGTTTTATTTTATGGTGAAATGTATAAGTTTTGTCAATCAAGTAAAACCTGAAATTGATATCAGATTTCTAGTTTAGGGCTGCAATATCATGCATTTTATTTCAGGTTAGTTTATTATTGTTTGTGTGAAGGTAATTGTTTTGAGTTTCATGTATTTATACTTTAGTCATTTTCATGTTTGAGTATTTATATTAGAGCTTCTGCTTAAGTATTTACTCTTAGGATAGGTTTCCCTTTAATCTATTCATCAAATATCGAGTACCTTTATTTTACTTTATTTTCTGCGTGTGTTTATATTTTGAATGTTTTTATGTAGTTATAAGTGTTTACGTTTAGTGCAGTTCATTGTTTAGATATCCTGTTATTTAAACTTGCGTATCAATTATAGTGTTCCATTATGAATCGCAGGCAGAATGTAGAGAGTTTATTCAACTATCATTATACTGAACAAATAATATCAAAGTTGCCTAAACTGTTATATGGAAGAAGTAGTATGAAATATTTATTAATTAAACTGCGGGAACAAAAATATATACATTATTTTTAATATCTGTATGTTTTGAGCAACCACACAAGATAGATTACGTTTGTAATACACCAACTCTCTAAAATGAGATGACGCCTTTAATGTTGATAACTGAAAATACTCTTCCAGCCAAGAGTTTCAATAATCATTAAACTTATAATACAAAACCAATATACTGGGCTATCAGTACAACTATTAGTCCTTATCATACCATCATACGATAAGCCAGTGTGAAAATAAATATTGCAGACCACGCTTAAACATGATATACTGAACCAGATAGGAATAATTAAAATATACCGCTGTTCATGATACACTAAACAATGAAATGAATTTGATTTAACTATGATATACTAAATGTGTCTGAGAATAAATAAAATACGCTAACTCATTTCATACAAACCAGAGTTAGAAAAAAATAAATCATGTTGAACAATGATTTAGTAAAGCAGGATTACAAGTACCCATAAAAATGGTGTTTAAACCAAATCTACTAAACCATGTTTAAATTATGCATACCAAACCATGCACAACAAAATATGTTTAACCAGAATTACACCAGTTCGTTCCATTCACGCTTAAACAACGTATTAAACTAAGGTAGATTAAGTATTAAAAACATTTTTAGATAACACATAGTACACTATGATGAACTAAATATAGTAAACTCAGTTTCAATAATATGCATTGTATAATCACCAAATAGAGTATGTGCAAACACTCAACACTATCCTATGAAGTAAGAAGCTGTAACTATCCATATGGTGTACAAAATCCATAAAAAATATTTATGGCTTAACATTTAAATCTTCCCAGCAGTTTTATCGGAACTAAACTCAATAGAGAGGTGAACAAA